TTTTACTCATCAGCTCCTGTCTCCATCGGTGAACACCCCAGCACCTCTGGGATATGCCTGTGTAGGGGCAGAGCTCCTGCAGGATGGAAAATGTGGAAGCATCAGGAGCTTGGGCTGGGAAGCTGGCAGTGCTAGGTGAGCTCTGGCTTGCATAGAAATTCCCACCATACTATGGCTGAAATCAAAGGCTGGCCAAGGAGTGACACTGACACTCAGGCCTTTGCTCCTTTGCTCCACCCTTTCCTTATCAACAAACCTCCCATTTGTTCAGACATCCACCTATCACTTAACTCATCTAGGTGGCTCAGAAGAGGCTGACTCCTGGTTTGTGGCTGATTGGTCTCCTCTAAGCCAATCACAGTCATCCCAGTGGGTGACAGGTCCCACCTATGCTTAAGCAGCTGAGGTTGTACCAGGTCCCTGGAGAATGTTATTAATCCCAGGTGGTCATGTGGCTCAAGCTAACTGAATCAGACTGAAGAAAAAACTTTAATTCCATCATCTCTGGGAGAGAGGTTCTCTTTATCTTTTCCTGGATGTGAATTGCTATGGACTGAATGGCCATGTCCCCCTAAAATTGATGTTGAAATCCTAATCCCCAATGTGATGGTATGTGGAGGTGGGACTTTGGGGGGAGGTGACTAGGTGATGAGGGTGGAGCCCTCATGAATGGGGTTATTGCCCTTATAAGAAGAGACTTCAAACAGCTCTCTCACCTCTTCCATCATGTGAGAACACAGCAAGAAAACAGCCACCTAGGAACCAGGAAGTGGGCCCTCACTAGACACCAAGTCTGCCAGTGCCTTGATTTTGGACTTCCAGCCCCCCGAGCTGTGAGAAATAAATGTTGTTAAGCCACCCAGTCTATGGAATTTTGCGATAGTAGTCTGAGCTGGGACAAGAACAACGAAGGAGGTTGCCCCAGGTGGCATAGGCAGTTATTTTGTGCCTATGAAAAAAGCAGTTTAAGTGCAAAGCTGCCTCAAGACCCCAAGGAAATGCTCAGTAGGCGCCGAACCTGGAGAAGAAAGAGACAGACTTTCTGCCTAAAACAAGTACAGGAACTCAGGGGTTGATAGAGGGGACAAACAAGAGATGGAGAAGAAAACAGAAAGAGAATGGGACCAAGCAACATGGCAGAACCCTATAAGCCAAGCCGTTGTAGAAAAGGACTAGAGCATTGTATGGAGTTAGGGAATATAAGATTTTAATGTTCCTTTTGTGGCCCAGAAATACTTTTGTCTCCCCAAACCCTGCTTTGCATATCCAAATGCCTAATGTACCAGATTCTTTGTCAAAAATGAAAGAGAAGGGGACTGGGCAGGGAACCCAGTAGCAGGATGGGGAGAACAGGAACTTAGGGCCTTTGGTTGCAAACAACAAACATGGACTCTGGCTGGTTTGGACAGGAACGGAATGTATCGATGTCCTGCCCCTTATTCCCTTGGACCACCTCTGAAGTCACCATAAGCAGGCAACATCCTCTGGGTCCCCAGGTGCTTGCTCAGTTTGAGTATAGGGCAGCCCACAAATGCCAGGGATTTAACATCCTCAGGCTACCCTCAACCAATAAAGGACAGAAGTCAGTGAATAAATGCCCACCCCCTGTCCCTCAGAGGGACAGTTCTGATGCATGATACTTCTTCTCAGAGTCCCCAGCAGGAGTGACCCCTGTTGTCCACCAAGTTGTGACCTGCTCATCAGTGTGCCCTTTACTGGCACTTCTCCCTTCCCCAGTCCTTTCTGGGGTCACCTCTATAGCAGATGTGTCTTCCAAAGATGGTCACAACAATACCTCCCACCCAGAAGCTCTTTTAGAGCCTTGCTACTCCTCCCATTAAAAGACTGAGTCTCTGTCCCTTCCCTTGAGCTTGGGCGTGGGGTGGGAAGGTTGTGACAAGCTCCTGCAAAGATTGGGCTGTTGGAAAAGCCATGACTCATTGTTGCAACAAAAAAACAGAGAAAAATATGTCATGACTTTTCCAACAATCCAATAGAAAGGCTGCAGAAATGATGCTATATGACTTTCAAGGCTAGACTAGAAAAGCCCATGAAGCCTTTGCAGGTTCTCTTGGGACATTCACTCGTGAAAGCCAGCCATCATGCTATGAGGAAGCCCAGGCCACCTGGAGAGGCCACATGGAGGCGTTCTGGCTGACTGGCAGTACCACCTGCTGGACATGTAAGTGAAGTCACCTCCAGGTGATTCCAGCCCCAGCCATCAAATCACCCCCAGTGGTTGAATCACCTCCCAGCTGATGGCCCAGACATTGTAGGAAAGAGACAAGCAGTCCTCACTGTGCCCGTCTGAATTCTTGACCCACAGAATCTGTGAGGATAATAAAATGGTCGTTTTATGCTACTAAATTTTGGAGTGGTTTGTTTTTCAGCAATAATAACTAGAACGTCTCCCAAATAAACTACCTGTACACGAGTCCTTGTCTCAAGGTCTACTTTTAGGAGAATCCAAAGTAAAACACAAGGCCATTGTGCATATCCCAAAATTTCTCTAGCTTCCAGTTCCAGACTTCCATTAGCCCCAGTGGAAGGTACCTCATTTTAATCCCAACAAGGGACTTAAGTCTCAGTCTCATTGGTTTAGGGAGAGATGGGCCAATATAATGCAATTGCTGATTGGTCAGGGCCTCCTCTCCTCACCATCCTCCCACCATGAGGTCTGCCCACCAACCACAGTCCTGAGAGTGAGGGAAAGACATTCCCCATAGGAACATTGGGTTGCAGCTACCAGGCCTTGCCAGTTCTGTTCAAGGATCGGGGGGCCATGAACTTCAGCAGAGGGTAAACCCTCTTAAGCCCAGAGGTGAGTGCCAATGAAGCCAAGCCAATCGTGGTAATCCTACTCCCCCGGCCAAGGACTGGTTTAGGCACGGACACGTGATATAATTCTTACCAGTGAGATATGAGGAAAAGGCTCCTGGGTAAGAGGGTAGGAGGGTAGGCAGTGGTTAAAAAAGGTTTCTTCACTCTTAAAAAGAGGCACAAAGGAATATCCTAACTTATACCTTTGAGAGTTGTTGTATAGTAATGTGATGTTTGGAGCTACAGCAGCTCTCTTGGGACCAGGAGGGAGAGACAAGCCCGAGGATAAAAACTAGAACACAGAGGTTCTTTCTAAAGAGGGAAAGAACTGGGTCTTGGATGATATTGTTCAACTACCTCTTTACCAACCATGCATACACCTACCTCCAAACATCTTTGGAGATAAACAAATCTTCTTAATGTTTAAGCCATTTTGAGTTGAACCATAGGTATCTTAACATATAGAACTTGATACCAGGAGTGGGGGCCTCACAGGGCATACCATGATGAGAGATTCATGTCAAATCTCCATTTTTCCATCCCAGAAGCTGTTCTCCTGCGTCTTCTTACTTCCTGGAATGAGGAAGTGGTTCTAGAAGGGGCACATTCCCCTCTTGATAAAGTTCTCTAATTCTCAATAATTTTGGGGTTGAGGAGTGGATATCAGTTTCACTTTCACAAACAAAGTTATGATTTAGGTGCTCACAGGGGTTATATTTTGGAACTGCAGAAAGGGAAAGGTTCAAGTGAAATTCATAATGCCTCAGCGTTCTAAGGTTTGCAAAAGCCTAAGAACCCACAGAGAATGACCTTCAACAGCAAAAGGCATGTTACACAATTCACAGAGTGCTTATTATGTGCATCCTTTCAATTCACACTCATAACAACTTTAAGTGATGGGGAGCATTACCCCATTTGGCAGAGGGTTCAGAAAATGTCAATAACTGACCCATGTAGCACCCCTCTGGGGTTACCAGCTCTAGTTTTCTCCAGCTGTGAGAGTGATTATGCATTCCCCATGCAGGTGACAACCAGGGTAAGGTCAACAACCAAACCAGACATGCCTGTCTTCAGCCAGGTCTGAGACTGCCTCACCTCCCTGCTTCTGCCCAAGCTGCTTCTGTGGATGGAATGCTATTTACATCTACCTTTTATTCAGCACTTCCTTGTGCCAGGTACCTTTCTAAACACTTAATGTGTTATTCTCATTTATTCCCCTTTGCAATCCAGAGAAGAAACTGAGGCACAGAGAAGTTGGGTAACCCCTCTGCTGCCCCCAGGTTACACAGCTAGTAGGTAGAGTCAGGATTTAAACCTCTACCATTCAAGTGATTCCAGAGCCTACACCCTAAACCATCACCCATTTCTTCCCTCTCCAGGACCAAGCCACTTTCCAGTGTGACTGTCCCTTCTCCAGAGAGCCTTTCCTGATGGATGCTCTCAGTCCAACATGGCCTCTCCTTCAGCACTCTGGGCGTTCATGATAAAACTAGTCACTCACCTACCTTGGTTACCACTATGTAAGCACTAATTTACACCCCACCCAGCCGGCCATCAGCCATTATCGCTGACTGTACCCGCAAGCTTCCCACAACCATTTTACAGAAGAGAAGGCTGAGGCTCAAAGAGGTTAACCAACTTGCCTGAGACCACACACCTCGCGAGTGGCCAGATGGAACCTGAAGCTAGACAAATCTGTGGCAAAGCCCTAACGCTGACAAAGATGCTGATAAACACCTGGAATTTAAATCAGGACCCTCTGCCTAACTTCCCGGGGTTCCAGAGGATAACTGGGTGCTGAACATGGGCCCAAGGGGACAGAGGACTTTAAATGGAAGAAAGTGGGGCTGGCAGTCAGCGTGTCTGGACCTAAGTCATTACCACCACCCACTGAAGCCGGGTGTCCACATCTGTAAGCAGGTGTTCGTGGTTAAGTGGCCCAGAGCTCTGGCCTCAGATAACCTGATTTTCATTTTCAGCTGGACAAATGGTTCCAAATCCACATCTGCTTCCTAGTGGTGCTGTCAGGACACGATGAGACAGTTAGTGTGGGACTTTAGGACTTTAGGGCAGTGCTCACACACTGTGAGCACGATCCAAAAGGCTCCTTATGACAGTTACTTTTGCTGACCGGAATCAGCCAGCGGTGGGGTAGAGAGTGCACTCTGGAGCCAGCCTACCTGGATTTGAACCCTGCTTCAGCCACCTCCTAGCTCCATGACCTTGGGCAAACCACTGTACCTCAGTTTCCTCACCTGTGAAAAGGAAATAATAAATGTTTTAATTAAAAAGGGAATAATAATCATATCTATCTTGCAGGGTTGTTTGGATGTGCCTGCAAAAGTGTTTAGCACAGTGTCTGACAGCACCAGATTTGTAGTTTTACTGTTGGTGTTATCATCTCCGGGGCTATTATCGCTAAGGGCTCCGACGGCCCGACCACCAAGTACTGTGGATTTTGCCGACTCATCCTCGCTCGGCAGGTCCCGCTCCCTCCCACCCCGCAACCGAGGTCTCGGGTCGCGATCCGGCGGGCCTGAGTCACCCAGGACTGTGCGTCACCCGCGCCCTCCCGCCCTACGACCAGCAGACTCACCCTGAGTCAGCGGGTCTGGGTGCTTCCACTCCCGGGAAGCCGCAAGGCAGAGGGGAGGCGGCGAGGCGCCCCCCGGCGGAGAGCCGGAGCCCCGCGACTGTCTGGCAGCGCTCATGGGCCGAGCGGACGTCGGGTTGGGGGGGCGCGGGGATGGGCCATATCACCGCAGGGCCGAGGGAGAAAGGCGGCCTGGCCCGTACCCCCCGCCTGCCCGCGCGGAATGGTATGGCCCGGCCGGGCTAAAGCCCGGGGGAGGAGGCGCGGCCTGCGACGGCGGCGCTATGGGACTGCGAGCTGGAGGAGCGCTAGGCAGAGCCGGAGCGGGCCGGGGGGCTCCCGAAGGACCCGGAGCGAGCAACGGCGCTCTGGGCGGCAGCATCCACTCGGGCTGCATCGCCGCCGTGCACAACGTGCCCCTGAGCGTGCTCATCCGGCCACTGCCGTCTGTGCTGGACCCGGCCAAGGTGCAAAGCCTCGTGGACACGATCCGGGTAAGGCCCGGGAGAGGCCGGCCAGAGGGAGGGTTTGGAGGAGGGAGGTCGTACTGGACGCGAGAGGGGACTGGTCCCAGGCTCCGCCGGAGGTCAGCATTTGCTGTGTGACCTTGAGCAAGTGGCTGAGCCTCTCTGGGCCTGTTTCCTTACTTGAGCAAGGTGGATTGGACGAGATGATTAAAATAACGATCAATAACCCTTATAAAGAGAGCACTTGCAGTGCCCCAGGAGCTATTTTAGTTCCTTCATGCCAACCCTATGAGGTAGATCCTACTATTATTCCTCTTTTACAGTTTCCTCAAACTGAGAAGGATTTAAGCAAACTTGTTCAAGGTCAGACACTTAGAAAGTGGTATAGCCTGGCCCCAGTGCCCAGCAGCCTGGCCACCACACTATCTGGAGATAAGCTGTGCTGTCACTTATGGCTGTGACAGTCAGTGGCAGGGGGACTGGGCGTGTCATGTCTGCTGGGAGGGCCTTGTTTGAGTTGGAAGAGGGAGGGGACCTGTTAATTCCATCACTGAAGTAGGGAGGTTAAGAATCCTGCAGGGAGGGGACATATGTGTCAGGTTAGGTCTGCATGGCTTCTTGTCCCCTTCCCCCAGACCCTTCAGGTGACCATCTGAGACCCAAGGCCCCACCAAACACCTCTACAGCTCCCGCTAATGTCTTTCCATCCTAGAGTTAGCACTGCTGTCCCCACTGCCTGGAACTGCTTCCCCAGATAGCCGTAGGGCCTGCTCCCTCACCTGTTTCAGGTGTCTGCCTCCTGTCCTTCCTGGTTGATGGTGCCCTGGCCTCTCTAGCTGCCCCCCTTAACCTGAGCTATTTCTCCATGAAGCACTTATTCCACCTGAGATTACATTATACCTTTATTTGTTCGTGTTCCATTGTCTGTCTGCCTCCACCTCATGTGAACGCCACAAGAGCAGGGATTTTGTCCTATCTTGGCTGTTTCCTCAGCACTAGCACAGCACCTGGCTGATTTTGGAGGATCTAGCCATACAGGATCTCGCCCACCCCTGGGCCTCTGCACAGGCTTTTTCACCTGCCAGGAAAACTCTTCTATCTTTTCTATTGTTTCTAACACCTCAGTCTTTCTGTCTCAGTGTCAGTGTCTTCCCTCGTGGCCCCTACTAGGTTAGGGACCTCCTGTGGGTGCCCACCACCATAGTTCTGACCCCGCTGTGTTTTAATGGGCTGTTTAGACATCTGTCTTCTACCCTCGAACCATATGCTCTGTGAGAGCAAGAACCAGACCTGTCTTTGCTTATCATGGGTATTAGTTTTCTAAGACTACTGTAACAAATTACCAGAAACTTAGTGGCTTAAAACAATACAGGTTTATTGTTTTATAGTTCTATGGTCAGAAGTCCAAAGTGTGTCTCACTGGGCTAAAATCAAGGTGTCAGCAGGGCTCCATTCCTTCCTGGATTCCTTTCTGGAGGCTCTAGGGGAGAATCCATTTCCTTGCATTTGCCAGCTTTTAGAGGCCACCATATTCTTTGACTTATGGCTTTCCTCCATCTTCAAAGCCAGCAACATCAGACCTCCTCTTACCCCAGAATAATTTTCCATCTCAAGATCCTTAGCTTAATTGCTTCTGCCAAGTCCCTTATGCCATGTAAGGTAACATATTCACAGGCTTCGGGGATTAGGATGTGGGCATATTTGGGAGCTGTAATCTGCCCACCCTCTATCATGTCACCAGCATCCAGCACACTGCCCCTCATTAGTGCTCCACTGCCAGGCAGGCTGTTCTCCATGCCTCCCTTGCATCAACTTCTTGACTTTTCATCAGGAGCCCTATAGAGTGTCTTATGCCCATTTTACAGATGAGGAATGATGCTTAGACAGGCAAGGCCACTTGCTCAGGGTCCCCCAGCTGCACTGTGGAGTTGCTGAGATTCAAATTCAGGTTTGCCTGGTTCCAGAGCCCCGGCTCATAACTGCTTATAACTTACTGCTTAATAAATATTTCTGGAATAAATGGATAAACGAATCCATCGAAGCAGCATAATAAAAGAGAACCCATGGGCCAGTGGCCGGAGATCTTCTAGGCAGCTCACACTTCATATGGTCTCCCCAGCATCCTCTAACCCGCACTTGGCCCTGCCCCAGGCTTTCCCTACTTAGAGGACCACCCACTCTCCACCTGGCAGGAAATCAAGTTAGATTCGCCTTGTCTTCTCACATTCACCCCTTCTGCCAGTCCCCTCGGATCTGCCCCCTAAATATGTCCCTAACCTGTCCACCTCTCCCTGTCCCCTACATGCCCTCACCCAGGCCAGCGTCTTCTGCTGAATACCCACTGAGACCTCACCTCTATCGTCCCAATTTTTGCCTTTGTCCGCCCCACCAAGGCTGATCTCCCATGACAACTTAACAGAATGTTCATTAGATCACGTCACTATCCCCTCTT